TAATCTAAGACTAGATAAGCACATCATTCTCTCAATCTATTTGCTTTATTTATTTTGTTCTCTTTATAGAAAAATTCTCTCTCTATATATTTATACATCGCTATCTCACTAGAAGAAATTTTCCAATTGATATCTTAGCCAAACCTTAAGACACTCAGCTTTTAATAAACCCAAATGCCCAATGAGTTTGTGTTGTATTATATACAAGTTTAATGGAGAATAAGTTCACTCACATAGGAATGAGATGGCATTGGTTGTATTTAAAGAGAATTTTTCAATGTGTCCGGAATAAGATCCGATATACAAGTGTCATAATACAAGTGATTAGAAGGTTTTTTTTTTTTTTTCAAGTATCCAACCTCTTGTATTATGATAATTGGTGTAACGGGTCATGTTCCCGACACAGTAGAATATTTCTCATATACTAATACTACTTAAATTAAGAAGGATAGTTATTTGCAATTTACTCACTTCAAGGGGAAGAACAAACCCCACCCCCCCCCCCTTTTTTAAGATGTAAGCAAAGATTACATGGTACTCCATTCTCCTTTAGATTATATGCATGCCATCCAGTTGCCTCTCCATTAAGAAAATTAAACGGATCTCCCACTCAAGCAACTTTGGAAGGATGTGTTTATACCGTTAAAGCGTCTTAATACATGGGCTAGGAGTTTATTAAATATATCAAGGGAATTTCGCATTTATGTTTCTTCCCATGCATTCCTAATTTTTTTTTATTTTTTATTTTGTCTTTAGATCGAATAAACTGAAAATCAATAAATTGAAATAAAGAGAGATGTGTAGAAATAAAATATGAAAATGAAAAATATATATGATGGTAGCAGGTAAAATGACCAAAAATAATATAAGCCGAAAATTAAACCTAAAACTTCAGATGCAAAGAGTAAAATGCTCTTAACGACAACGACAATCCCCTTGCAATCCATACATAACCTTAGCACATGGATTCACGTGAATATTGAGAGAATATATAAGCACAAGGTATTGCTCAATATATTACTATATATTTAGGAGAGAACCTACATCTCTTTAGTGTTGAAGATAGGTCGTTGCTTCATTCTTTTAGGGTGGTTCTATCCAGTATCCACACACCATTTTTACTTTCTATTCATTATCTGTCAATTTTTATCTTTTGGTCTTTCTACTCATCATCTGTCAATTTTTATCCTTTGGTCTTGTTCAATTCATTCAATCGGACGATCAAAACTTAGGAAGACGCATGAAAGGTAAAAAGAAATGTGTGGATAACATTACTCTTCTTTTAGAGAAGAGGTTACATTAAAAGGTTGACATAAAAATATCTTGCTTAGTTAAATCGAGAGCTTAAAGATTGGCTTTTCTTGAGAGATAATCACATAGGCTTGTTGCGTGACGCAAGTAAGAGAGTTTTCCTTACTTTATGGAGACTTACACGTACCGATGATATAGAGAGCTAGGTTAAAGCGGAGCAACCATGCATGATGAAAAATGCTGGTCGGGACTATAGAAATGTTCCCTAAAAATTACTTGGAATTTCTGGAAAGAAAGGAAAATGATTTGAAGAAAAATATGGCTTTCAGCTGATTTGGCATGTTGCAAACCTCAGGGAATGAATAGAATGGGGGGTTTAGATTTGCGAGGATCATTGATGTCTGAGGTGCGAAATTTCTCTGTGTACGTGATGATCTTGATGCATTGAGTTCCATTTGGTTGCTTTGATTTCATCTTTGCAATTTTCTCTAAAAACAGAAAAGGATGGTCATGATAGCATTAGGTTCCGTTCGGTAACGTTTGCGAATCAATTAAAAAATAAACAAAACTCTTTTGTAAAACGAAAACAACAAATAAGATTATTCTAAAATATTTCTAGAATGATCAAGTGCATATATGATCCAAACTCATGAGATTGAGAGGAATTTCAAGGAAGATGTGACAAATTTGGAACCGAATTGGGCAGAGTTCGTTGTCATGAGAAGACAAATGCTGGGTTTGGTCGGGTTGGGGGGTCTGTTTCAGAGGACCAGTGGAAGGAAGAAACAAAATCTAACAAGGGCATGATCACGACACTGCGGGAAAAGAGAATGGGTATCCTAAAGGCCAGCATGATATATGCATATCTCACACCATCTCCATTGGTTTGGTTGGGTTGGACTGGGATTCTGCTGGAATCCATCACTGCCTAGCTTTTCGGAAATTTCCAAGTCCCCTAAGACAAATAACCCTAGCTAAGTACCTAGCCAAAATAGAAGATGCCAAAAACTGTAGGGGTGTCTCTTTGTACTTGTTCATATATCTAGAATGCTAACCTTATATACACTGTTCTAAAAATCCCCGCCTAAGCGCTAAGCGGTTGGCCACCGTCCCGATTAATGCCTGTGCATTTTAAAATTAAGAAAGAGTGCCTAGACCTGCTTAGGCACCCGCCTAGACCGCCTAGGTACCTGCCTAGCCCCCCCACACCCACCTAAGTTGTGACTCACTTAGACAAAAAATAGATAACTTTCATTTTACATTTTATTTTTTTTCAATAAATTGTAAGAAACTTGTTGAATGCTTAAATGAATACATATTATATGCATGTTCCCCATGTTTTCATTATGTTCCAATACTTCCTAATATATATGTCATTCTATTTTGTAGTTTATAATGAAATTATATACATTTTAAGTATAAACATACTTATTTACACGAAATATAATAGATTTACTTAAATTCGTCTAGTCCGCCTAGGCCCCGCCTAGCCATCTAGGCGCTAGGCCTCAACTTGCCACCCGACTAGCACCTAGCGTCTTTTAGAACATTGCTTATATATCAACTTCTCAACATGAAATGTGTTTATTGTAACAAAAATAGAATAGAGATGGAACTATCATTGGGAACATGTACGTACTTATTATATATGACCTCTTATATACCTTTTTTTTTTCCTCTCCTTTTTTTCTTTAGAGATACTGTCGTCCCGTTTTGCTACAGTAAAACTGAATTCCTACTAAAAAGAGGCTCGTCTAACACACAATGCTAACCTAGTAATAATTTCACCTAAGTTTGCTTGCAATGCATCAAGATCGTAAATATAAGGACTTTATTTAATGTTTTTCAATAGAATAACATAAAACTTGGTGGCAAATTAACGAGGCAAGTAGTCAACAGTTAGGCAGATAAGTGTGCTGCATGCATTGGGGGCTGGGGGGATTCGTATTGGTCTTCTTTCTACAGAAAGTGAACTACCATGGTATCCCAAATATCCCTCTCTCCAACAACTAGAATTTAGTATCCTTTTCATTTTGTCCCATCCTTCACAGCTCATATCTTTGCCACAACCATTCACATATTTGGAAAAAGACACAATGCCTTGAGCATCTCAAATTCTTCCTCTTAAAGAAGTTTTAATCCATGGTCATCCAACTCCAATATATTGAAACCGAGAGACACTTCCCCCTATTATCTATCTGAGGTGATATTTCAAATACGTATATAAAATCAAACCTTTCAAGTATATGGATGCGACAATTCAGTTCAACTATAAATATATACTCTTATTGTATTGTCTATAATAACATTAATCGTTAGATGTTTTTCTTATTAGACTATGAATTGACCGATCAATATGCAATAATCCAAATTGCGAATCAGGTAGTTGCACAAATTTGACAAGAGAGCATCAAATCATTCAATGTCTTTGAAAATGGAATATAAGTGTCACAAAGTGAATTTGACACCTAAATTCAAAATATTCCACTTAAAGATATATGAGGTAGCTTACATAGCCAAGTGAATATAACACCATGCGTGAACTCTCCCTCAAAAAGCATCAACATCCAATCGCGTTTAGCCGATCCCCGTACAAAATAAGGAGCTTTTAGTTTAAATACAAAATTCAAAAGAATTTTAAGCTAGAATACCGTATTTTTAGTTTATGTACTAGTTGAAAAGTCAAACTAAATTTGCTAGTGAAACTGACAATACTGTCCAACCCTATCATCATAAGGCCATAGTCATTAACCTCCCCATTGAATTGTGACAAATATGTATGCATAAGACTTTTTTAGAAGAAAAAAATTTTGACTACGGTAATCTCTTAGGGCGTAGGGTGTAGTTCTCAAATTTTGGGCTCCTCCCAAAACCTGAGACATATACACCCCAAGCCCTAAGCTCCTCCTAAGGACAATATAAACCCTAAACACAAAATGATGCAACTTCTAGAACCCTCAACCCTCAAAATCAACTCCGGACTCTAATGGGCCTTATAAAATTCTAAAAGAAATAAGCTCTTGATGATAAGATGGTAATCTTCCATATCTTTTTTTTAGTTATAGGTCCCTTTTCTTTTTTGTAACATAAGGTGGTAGATCAACCCAAAACTAACTCAATACATTATTACAAACAGTTTGAGTCCTGGAGACTTCGATCATATAATCAAATAAATGAGCTCCAATCCATTTAAGTGGATTCTCAAAATAATAATACTCAAGATTCTAATTATAACTCAAATTGACAAGGCCATCAGGAACAACATTCTTAAAACATATGTGTAACTTGGTAGTTAATACAAATATTGATATCTCCATGTGTTTATGCCCACAAAGCCAAAATGTTCAAATCATGATCATTTTCTATTATATCGGTATAGCTTGCTAATAAGCTTTCTCGAGAATAAGTCTCCATCCTAATATTTTTCCACAAGCAAAACAAAGATTCCCAATGTGGGGTTAAAGCCTTAGGGAGGAAAAAAATTGAAGAAATAAAACACAAGGATTCTCCTATCGGATATATGAAATGCCCACACTTAGATAAGTGATTGCTACTGGTCCATGGCTGCACGTCCCGAACACCATGATCCTTACTGTATCTTACAAAGATTCCCCCACAATCAAGTGGAACCCACCTTACCCTACTATACCCACATCCAAACATGCCCGTAATTTCATCTCTCCAAAATTTAACATCACGACGCTTCATTTTACCTATAAATACACATACTCTACGTCCCAAACTCATACAAACAACACATTTTCACTCCTTAGTTGTTTAACCTTCTCATCATCAAACATGTCTGGGGTTTGGGTTTTCAAGAATGGCGTCGTCCGGTTGGTGGACGGGGCGGATTCCTTGCAAGGCTCCAACGCCCGGCCGCGTAAGGTGCTCGTCCACACTCCAACTGACGAGGTCATCAGCTCTTACGCCGTGCTCGAACGCAAGCTGTCCGCGCTCGGCTGGGAGCGATACTATGACGATCCGGACCTTCTTCAGTTCCACAAACGATCCACCGTCCATCTCATCTCTCTCCCCAAGGATTTCAACAAGTTCAAGTCCATGCACATGTATGACATCGTTGTTAAAAACCGTAATGTGTTTGAAGTGAGGGACACGTAGTCCTTGGACTAGTTTGTGCAGCGTGCTGGAAGTGTTTGTGATGACTTTGATTCTGTGTTCATTTGTGTGCGTTTGTATGTTTCTGCAGGTTTGGGGTTTTTTGATTTTTGGTTTGGTTTGGTTAGGGTTTAGGGAAAGCTAATTAATTAAAGTAGTCAAAGAGTCTGTTCGATGATTGACTGTTGGATAGTACTCTGACAGTTTGTATAAATTGTTATCATTGTGCAATAAAAATTGGGTCTTGACTGTTGTGTTGTGTTCTTTGTTCCACACCCCCCCTCTTGTTTCCTTGGGAGAAAAAAGAGACGGCAGTTTCACTCCCTTTGTTTTTAAACCTTTACCAAAAAGATAGGCGAATTTCAGTAATGTTTTTGGAGAGTTTAAGTCCAGGGAAGATGCTTTGGCATCTCTTGGTCACTCCCTGCAATCTCCGATCGCGTTTGCATGCATGGAATCATGATTTTCGGTCTCCCTTGATCGTTCTGGCTCTGGTTACGGCAGGAGCTTGTAGATTAAGAGCATTTATTCTTGTATATGAAATCATAGGTTTAATTCCTCCTTCCCATAATATTATAATATTGTTTGTACATAAAAGAGCTAGATTAATCCAAAATATTCGAAATAACTATATCTTGCGGATGAAAAACAATGATCTAAAAGGTTGCAAGTGATGTGGAATTTGATTTAGCATATATATGTAGCATTCTTGGCTTTGATGGATGCCTTGTTGACTGGACTAAGCAACGACTACTCGCTTAATTTGCTTTGTATTCTTTCATGGTCTCTAAGATGTGTCGAAGATCCTTTATTTATTCAGAGAATATAACGAGACATTTATATTAAGTAATGAGTCAATTATAATAATTTAGTTAAAATTCGTAATGGCGAAAAATAAATTTAACTTACAAATAAATAAAAATACAATATTAAATAATATATATGTCACAAGTTTTATACGTAGACATGGAGTGTTTTGTGATGAAATTTTTTTTTTTTGGTGACTGAATATAAATTTTATCAACTTTTTATTTACGACTATTGCGGTTCATCATGAATTCACGAAAGACCAAAATCATTTGGGCATAGGAAAAAGTGGATTACCTTAGTCCAACCATTTGCTTTGCTTACCAACAACGTAGTGCTGCCACGTGTTTATATACAAGTGGCAGGGGCTATCCACTCAGTAAACTGCATGCAAAATGCCGAAATTACCCTGTACAAATAGAGCAAGTGAAGGCAAATTATAGGGTTTTCATAGGCCCAAAAGTGGAATAACAAAGCCAGGCATGCATAAAAAGCCAGCAACTGGCGCAATTTGGGTGATACAAAAACAAGACTTTTCTTGAAATATTTATCTGGATATAGCAAAATCAACTTTGACTCAAAATGGAAATTTTGCCAAATATGGAAATATACATGTCGAGTACCACAAAAATTGTTTTGGGAGTATTGCTTGGTAGCAACTATTTAAGAACGAGTAAAAGTTTCTACTCAAAATTCTTCGTATTCAAATTATAGAGATTTATGTTTATGATTAGAACCGTTCATGAATCATTCTGTCAATGTCATCTTCACAAAAAATACCAAAAAAAAAAAATTGAAACTGAAGTCGTTTAGTAAATCTATTGTAGCCACTGGCAAAGCCAAGTACAAGGCTCCCCTAGAAATAATAATTTACAATTTCCTATTTACATAGAAGAAAAATTTGTGTGAGGTTCAATGCTCCACTGGACAATGTCTAATGACACTACAACTCAATCAAAATTTAACACGTGGTAAAATTTAACTACAATTTCCTATTTACATAAAAAAAATACTGATAAAAATATTATTATTTCCATAATTAAAACTACAATAATACAATAATAACACCCCAGGCTTCCTCCACCAGAAAAGCCTCGATTGCAAGTCTAAAGGTGGGAAAGAACTCTAAATATGGTTGATCAGTTTCTAAGTAATGGATGTTTGTTGCTTTCATCCCGTTCCTCCAGTTGATGTATTAAATTTCCCTTGTCTTCAAAGAATTGAAATCCTGTCACGTTATACTATCTCTCAATGATTAACTGGAATTGTATAGACTTTGGTGATGAACCATTTTCTACAAACACAACAAAATCTGTCTTTTATTTTTCAAAGAATTGTGCTAACCATGACAGAAAAATCTAAAGAGAAAATATAAAGCTTATTCCCCCAAAGTTCTGTGAAACGATAACGAAGTCGGCGTCGACAAAGGAGAGGTGAATTCTCAAGTGGAGGGTGACATCCAATCAGATCAGTCAATTTACAATTGTAATGATAATGGTTGAAAAGAATGTATTTATCTTTGGAATATATTTTCAGTTTTTATGTAATTATGAAAGCTTTAAAAGGTCAACTATGACAAAGTATAGTTAATTTTTACCACATGTCAAATTTTAATTGAGTCGTAGTGTTGTTGGGTATTGAGCCTCACCACAAGTTTTTCTCATAGCGTTTGGAGAATTTTGGTTCTTTAAGTTTAAAAATATTAGCCCCTTCGAGACATCCGATAAAATTGGAATGATGCAGAACTTTAAAATATTAATCTTTCGAGCTATTTTATTATTTTTAATTGTCATATTCCACTCAGCAAATGAAAATTTTAAATCTTAAGGTGGCTTTTAAGAAAAATAAGAGTTAAGCACATCTCTAAAGAAGATGTCAAAATATCCAAATTAGTAATAACAATAAAAAAAAACCAGCTCCAATGTTTTCCAAGAAGCCAAATCTATGGCAGCTCTTCCATTTGCTGTCAAATTTGACAACAGCATCACACATTTTTTTATTAATTTTTTATCAGATCTGCAACTCTTCTCTCTCTCCTCCTTCAATGGCGTCCATGGCCACCCTTTTCGTCAACACCCCCTACCCCTCTCACTCTTTCCCCAAGCCGTCATCTGCCCATTTCGCCCCCGTCCTGAAGTTCTCAACCCATCTCGGGTCCAAGCCCAGGACCCACCAAAGGCTCCGAATTTCAAACGGGTTGATTGAGCCGGACGGCGGGAAGCTAGTGGGGCTCTTCGTCGAGGAGTCGAAGAAAGGCGAGACGAAGAAAGAGGCGGCGGCGTTTTAATTTTCTTGACAACCAAACTGAACAGAGAAAAATTAAAGGAGGATACTTGAAGGACACCTCAAATAAAAATTCTTAAAACCGTTCAAAGGTTGTAACTTTAATTTCCAAAAACCCTATATAAAGTCAACAATCCATAATTTAGTTTCTTAAGCTCTTTTTCTTTTTTGGTTTGATAACTTTTCTTATGCTTTTCTCAGCAACCAAGCAAGTATTTATGACAAAGGCGAATTGATCAGACCAGATATCATCATAATGAATGGAAAAGAATCCAATATTTGGTTAAAACTTAAAATTGGATGAAAATTCAAAGAATACGTAATTGAAAACAGAGGGTGGGAATTGAATGCGTGCCTGCTACCTCTTTTGTTTGTCTCTGGAAGGAAATGGGAGCCCTCTCTCTTTCTCTGCGCGTAAGAGTGGGGGTGGGTTAGGACTCTGGAGTCTTCATTCCAAACCCAGAAAATAATAGTTTAATAAAATAAAAAGAAAAGAAAATAGTGAAATAAAATAATATTTAATTTGACATACTGGGTGGGTGAAGAGTAAAATTTTGAAAGATGTCAAGATGCCACATATGTTGTCAAATTCAAATTTTATGATTAAAACTTGACATTTTTTTTGAAGATGCTGTAATAAATGTTAAATAAACTCATCATTTTAACCAATATTATAATTTAATAGTAATAAATTAAAACTTCCATACTACAAATGGTTCTTTATTTTATTCACTTGAAGGTTTTGAAGACTAGAAGCCTAGAAAACGTAGTATAAATTTTTTACTTCAAATTATTTGGTTTACTATTATATAACTTTATGAATGCAATAGAAGATTAAAAATTTGATTTCGTAGTAATAATTTTAGCTTAACCCACCAACCGAATAATTCCTAGCTACGCAATATATAGACGATTTGTAATGCTTTTATCAATTCAGTTCATCTTTTTAATACAGTTCGTTGACTAAATGACTTTACTTTTAATAGATTTTTCTGCAGAGGTAATTTTTATAGAATGATAGATAATATGAATGATTTTGATCATAAACACGAAGTTCTATAAATTGATAATGAGCAAATTTAAGTTGAAACTCTTACTCATCCCTTGAGTAGCAAAGTACTATTCCAGACTTGGCAAAAATGTAGGTATAAATGTTATTACTTTGAATTTCTTTTGGGCATCATATTGTTACTTATTCAACCTGCATATAGGTGAAGCACTCGCTCATATTTGGATCAAGACAATGACATTGGAAAGCAAGATATGCATTGACAGTTCAAACAACATGCATATCTAAATAGTTTCCTGAGAAATATGGTGCACATGTGCGAATGAATCCAAAGATTTTGGAGCCACCATCAAGCTGCCATTCATGGAGCGTGCCTAAGCAACATGTGCTATAAAGAAAGGTAATTGAGGAAAGAGATCTCCTGATAAGAATCCTAAAACCAAAGGACTGAGGCTGTAAAACCTCATGAGGATAAGACTATAAAAGTAAATATATTATGTCTATATGCCCCTCCCTTGTTTCATTAAGTGGTCAGTTCCTTCAAATCAATGGCCTCTCAAAAATTCCAAGGGCAATAATAACAGAACAAAACTAACCAACTGAGAACAAGGATCGGTGTATGTATGTATGTATGTGTGTGTGTGTCTATATATACACACACAAATGTACATTTAAGATGGAGTAGAGCCAGCAATATTGGAGCTCTTTATCTCTTTTTTACACTATATATATAGATCCACAATTGATGGAACAAGAGAGATCCTATTTGTCTTTTATGAGTTTGATATGCAAGATCAGAGCTTTTGTCATGTCAATGTCATGCAAACCAATTTTATATGAATCGTCAAATAGTTATTTACAGAGTTTTATGTAATTCCAACTCCAACTCCAACTCCGGACTACGTATTGGGATTGAATATATTCATTGAAATTCAACTTTAAAACCCTAATTAAGAACCAAATATAGGTATTTAGATCTAAAGAAATCATATTAGGTAAATATTCAACACTAATTTACACTATAAAGAAAAAGAATAGTTTGAATTCAGAATGCAATAAAGTAAAGAGAAATACTCTAATAACCAATCAATTCATCACTTATAAAGAAAGTTGAATACTTAACCTAATTTAATCTTGTTAACTCATTTCTTGG